ATTATATATAAATAATAGATTTCATTTTCAATAAAGAAGGGACAAAAGAACATACTGGGCTTTTCTTGCTTATATTAAGGTTCGGTTTATCTAGAAATTCGCATAAATAACATAATATATTGCAATATTATTATAATTAATTACTGTTTTATATTTCATTTTGACAAAAAAGAGGTGGGTATTGGAGCTTATAGGTTATTTTGATTTACGAAAGTTAATGTAGAAAATTATAGTGTATATTTTTATTTCTTTATTAGAAATTCGTCTATATATTTAAGTGTTTAGAATTTTATTTTATGGTTTTTTTTTAATAAGAAAATTTTAACTTTTTTTTATATTTATTATTATTAAGGAATATTACTGCACTGCTGCTACTGTTTTAATATAGAAAAATATTAGAATATTCATTTTTTATAAATAAATTAATAAACATAAAATAAATTCTTAAACAGTTTTTATTTTATCGATATTTTATATCGTTTATAGGTGGAAAATCTCATATAATTATATTTTTGTTTCCTTAATTAGTTATTTTTTTATATATATTAAAGCTTTGAACAATATATATAATTATTTTGTGTGTGTGTGTTTTTTTTTTATATTAATATAAAAAAAATAAGTATAAAAGAAAAATAATATAGTATTTATTCTTTTGAGAAATATAATATTAATTTAATAATTTTATTTAATAAATGATAGCAAATTTCATATATATTATAAATTATTTCTTGTTTTTTAGTTTTCAATACACTTATTATATTTTATTTTTAAATTTTGTTGAGTATTAAAAATAAAATTTGATATTTTTAATTTGGACTTTTGTTAATTTTTATAATTACATAAACTATTTTTTAATAAAAAAAAAATATTAATCAAATCAATAGAATAAAAAAATTAAAAATCTATAATAGAAAAATTAAATTTTATATAGTATATATATAAATTAAATAAAAAAATTTAAATTATTAATAGATATAAATATTAATACATATTTATATTTCTTTTATATTAAAAAATATTTTTCAAAATTAATTTAAATATGTATTATATTAATTAAAAGCCTATATTATATTTATATTTTTAATAGCTAATATAATATTAATAAATATAAATAATACTTAAAAATATATAAAAGCATTTTTTTTTTATGAAAATAATTATAAAAATCAAAAAGTAATTAATTTATAATAATAAAAATAAAAATTTAAAAAATACTAACCAATTTATTAAAATAATAATTTTAAAAAAATTATACAATAAAAAACATTTTAAATTTTATAATCAATATAATATACTATATTTATAAATAAAAAGAAATATAAAGCATAATAATTATGTAATTATATTTAAAAAAAAAAATCAATAAAAGAAATATATAAAAATTAAATTTAATTTTAAAAAAAATACAAAATATAATGAAAAAAAAAAAAATTGTATATATATATATATATATATTGTTTATATATATATTTATAATATATTAATAAATCATTATTTTAATTCACCACAATCAGATATTACGACTTTCTTTTTAGGATTTCCTCTACTAGTTCCTTAATGTTCAATAGCTAATATTTATTTTTCAAGTATTTATATATATATATATATGTATATATTTATATATATATATTTTAAATACTATTTAAAACTTCCATTCCTTCAACAATTTTTCCAAAAACCGTATGCTTTCCATTTAACCATTCGCATTAAACAGTAGTAATAAAAAATTAAGATCCATTAGTGTTAGGACCTGAATTAGCCATAGATAATTCACCTTAATAAAATTTAATATATAACAATAGTAATAATAATAATAATAATAATAATAATAATAATAATAATAATTATAATAATAATAATAATAATATTTATAAATAAAAAAAGTAATTATATATATAGATATATTAATTTTTATTTATACCTGGTCCTGTATGTTTAAGATTAAAGTTCTCATCAGGGAATATTCTTCCATATATAGATTCTCCTCCTTTTTTTATTGTTTTATATGTTAATATAACGTATAATTTTTATATTTTATAATAAAAATAATATACCAGTTCCATTATGATGAGTAAAGTCTCCTCCTTAAGCCATGAAAGAAGGAATTATTCTATGAAAATGACTTCCTTTGTAAGACAATGGTTTTCCTGTTATTGTTGATTTCGCATCTCCTATACATAATCTTCTGAAATTTTCAGCTGTTTTAGGTACGACATTTGAAAATAGCTCTTTTTTTTTTATTACTTATATTTTTTTTTGGCTTTTTTTTTGATTTTTACTTCAAAAACCATTCTTCCAGATGGAGTATTATCTATTGTTATATCGAAAAATACTTTAGGATTGTTATTTTTTCCGGAAGTAGTAGAAAATTATCTGAATACTCTAAAAACTTTCATTTATTTTTATATAATTGTAATAAAAATTTATTTTATAAAAAATATATCTTTTTTATTTTAAAATAAAAATCTTATTAAATATAATTAAAAAATATAATATATATAATATATATTTATATATATATTTATAATTATATTTATATATATATTTATGAAAATCATTCGATATTTTAATTATTTTCTTCTTCATCTTCTTATATATATTCTAATTTTTTTTAATTTTCTTCAATTTCAATAATAGTTTCATCAACTAAAGTAGTTAATTCTATAACTTTAAAATTATTATTTTATTTTTCATTAATATCTAATCTTAATATTTCTTTAATGATCTATAAATAAATAAAATTTATAAAATTTTATTTTAATTAATAAAAATACCTATCTACATAAATAACATTCCCCTAAATCTTTCATAATATCCATTGAACATTTATAACATATTCCTTAATTTTTATTTAAATTGAAAAAAATTAAATTTAAATAACCTCCATGTCCACATGGCATACATACAGAATCTGAAGGATTATCAAAACAAATAACACATGTATTTCCTTCATTATTAATTTATGAACAATTAGCCTAGTCTATTTAATTTTCTTGCTATTTTTTTATTGTATAACTAGAATTCATAGATTTTCTTTATTATTCATAATTTTTTTTTAATATTTATATTTAATAATTTTAGTTATTTGCTATATTTTCTTAATTTTCATTTTTATTTATATTATTAGAATTTATAATTGATTAAGCTTTTTTTAATTTAAAATAATAATAAAAATTAATTAATAAAAAAAAAAAAATTAATGAATAATT